TTTTTTGCCGGTCGGCATGTTCGCCCCCTCCCCCCACTCCACGAGGCGTTGCCATGGCGGCGGCCGCGGGCACTTGGACCTTCTCACTGCCCGCCCTGCGCAAGATGCGGGCGTTGCTGCTGCGCGGCGCGGACGCCACGGACTGCGTGCAGGAAGCCATGGCAGGTGAGGGTAGACCCCGTGCAGCAGCGCTGAGGGGTTAACACCTGGTTGTTGTTTGGTTTTTTCCTCTTTAAAAAGCAACAGGAGCTGGACTTGTGGGGATGGGCCGCGCGGGGTCGGAGGGAAGCCCCACTGGACGCCGCCCGCTCCTGGGAAGGAAGGAGGCGCAGGAGCAGCGGGAGGGGCCGGGCGCACCGCACGGGCGGGACGTGGGAGCGCTCCACGGGCGCGGACAGACCTTAACGACCCGAGAGTGAAGCGCTTGGAGGGGAGCGGCTCCGGGAAGGCAAGCGGCTCCCTCAGCGCTACCTGACTAGAAATGCTGCTGCTAAGCGGGTGGTTTTAAGCTTGGAGTGGAGCAGGGGTCAAAGGGCGGGGGGCACAGATGCACCAATACACCCCCTCCCCCCCCACCCCCTTTTGGATCTGCCCCTGATTCCTAAGAGAAACCCTGAGTTTTCAAGCCAGCGGTTTTAAATCTGTTGTGTCCTGCTGGGGGCTCTCCAAAGGCTTCAGCTCAGCGGCTGTGGAAACATGAGTGAAAACGAAGAGCTGGCATTTTCTGAATGTCGCCCTGAGTCTGGGAAGGGTGAGAGCCCCTGCTCTGCGTGGGTCCCAGCATAGTTCGTTTGTCTCATGACCTTGCGTCCATCAACACAAACTTAAGGCACATTGTGTATAAAAGTGGCAGGACTTCAAGTGTCTGCCCTCATGGAATTAAAAAAAATACATGGTCAAGTACCCTGTACTGTTTTGGGGCAGTTGTTACTTTTCCAGGTTGACTGGAGCCCCCATCAGTCCCCTTCCCTTGCCAGTTTCTGTCCCCTTCTGAGTAAACAGGTGTTTATTTCTTTAAAGAAACAGACAGACAGACAGAGCTCTTATCAAGTTTCCTGTCTTTTTGGCCTAGAACTGCTTTGCTTTTCAACTGCTTTGCTTGTGTATCCAAATTTCCCATCAACTGAAATGAGGCTACAGAAATGCTGTTCGGCTTTTTGGATAATTCCTGTATCACTGGTGCTACCTAATGTTAGAACAAATGTGTTTTACTTCAATGTAGCCAAAGGCACATGGGCACAATTCCTTTGTTTATGGCAGGGCTGTCCAGCTGGCAGTCCATGGGCTGCACATGGTTTGGGAAGGGTTCACAAGCAGCCCGCAGACCAGGGCCAGACACAGCCATGGGTGAACTGGGCAGCTGCCCGGGGCTTGGACAGATATGGGGCCCAAAATGGTAATTTTTCCCCGTTTTCCTGTTGTTGTTGTTATCGCTGATGAAGAGTTTGCCCGGGGCCACCATGAGTCTAGGTATGGTGCTACCCCAGACTTCCACTAGGTCATTGCTGCCCCTGTTATATCAGATGGGATCTTGGGGCTTCCCCTCCCTCCCCCAGTTTCCACTGCCTGACCTACTACCCCCAGGGGGGACGAAGGACATGATACAGTCCAGCTTAACCTTCCCCCACAACCTGTGGTGTCAGGGGAGCTAGCAGCCCAGAGCCCTGTTGTGACACAGTGCTTCCAAAAAGTCCACAGGGAGTTGTCGGTGAGGCATGGCACTGCATAATGGGGTGGGGGTACCCGCCTCCCCATTGTAACAGGATGTGGGGTGCCTATCTGTAGACACAGGGTACAGCCTGGGGGATGTAGGTCACTCTTTCATATGCGTATGTCAGTCCCCCATAAATAGTGTTTGTTTTGACCCTTCTGTACTGTTCAATTTCTTAATGGGATTTTGGGAAGCACTCGGATTTTTAAAAAATGGAAACTTGGGTCTAACGCTTGACTATTTTTAAACTTTACTTATCTCCAGCTATTGAAAATGATGAGGAGATAGGGAGTTATGTAGTAGGACGAGGAGGCTACCCAAACAAAGATGGATTAATCCAGTGTGATGCTGCTGTAATGGAAGGGCATCCTTGTCATTTTGGAGCAGTAGCAGCTCTGTCTGGGTACGTAATGTGCTTTAATCTACCTGCGGCAACATGCATAGATTTTTATAAGTATGTGGAAAGGTTTCATGTCCATAAAAGTGAGGGATTTGCATTGCTGGATAAAGCACAATAAGTAATTGCAGTGGAAGCCTCCTATCAAGCCTGAAATATTAACTAAACTGAAATCATCTGACTTGTTTTACACTGTGGTCCTGTAGATAGGACACTGGTTTGATAGGCACGAGAGTTGGGCTCTATTGCCTGGTCTGCAGTTGACTAACATACACAACCTTGGATGAGTCATTTGACCTGGCAATTTCTTTATCTACAAACTTATCCCACAAACAAAGACTTATCCCACGTTTGTAAAATGCTTGAGGTAAGGGGATGAAAATGCTATACACATGTTTATTTTCCATTGGGTCATATCCTGCAACTAATTTTCATGCAAGCTTCCAGTAATTTTCAATGATTGTTTTATAATGGCAAAGTATGGTCCAATTGAGGTAAGCTAGATTTCGAACCTCATGTGCTTAATGTAAAACACTAATGCATTAACTAATACAAGTGCTGTATATTAACTAGGTCATTTTAAATATGCAAATGATATTTTGTCCATCTTAGTAACATTGCCCCCATGACTTTAGTAAATGACAGTTTTTCCAGTAATTGGGCTACTAAGGAAGAAAGCCATGCTCTAATTCATAACAGAGTAATTGAAAACATTTTTGTGTAAAGACGGTAATGTTGAAACCTGGCATGTAATACACCAGTAACCAATTAATTTTGTTAATCTGACACAGCAAGTAAGATTAGACATCAACGGGATGCAAGTTCTGTAATGGAAATAGGTCTGTTAAGGAGGACCTCGGGTGTATAGTACAGCATAGCAATTAAAATCCATTGCTATATTTGGTGCTAACTACTGCTGATGGTTATTGAGTGGTCTTATGGGATTCTTATGTTTTGTTATAGGACAGGTATAATGCAGGAAGGTAATGTGTTCTGAACTGAATGACATTTTAAGGTTGGTTTTTTTTTACCAGTTTAATTCAGCTGGAGCCTGACTTCACATTCACAAGTGTATTTAAAATATGAGAAGAAAAAGAATGAACACATCTGTAATAGGAAAATAGGGATGTGTAACTTACAATGAGTGCAGCTCTGTTGTTAAAAATGATTCAAGTAGTAAGGAGTGTCAGGAATTGCTACAGTGATAAAGATGCAGAATAGGTTTAGACAACCCAGAATAAAAAGGGTCTGAGCTTTCTCTATGCTTAGTAGTGTTTCCACTGCTACACCATCAGTAGAGAATAATGGGTCCTCAATTTTAACCAAGTAACTGCATAAAAATCCACAGCCCTTCTGGCAGTTTACCACTTATTGGGTGCTTGAGCCCTGTTAAAGAAACAATGTATTTTTTGTGGAATCCTACTAATAGGTGGCTTAGTTGAACTCTAAATGATATGAAAGGAACTGACAGCTCTTTTATGGTCAAAGGATCTAGAGCAGATAAGTCTGTCAAAGAAAAACTTAGAAATAGGAACATTAAGGGGAAACGCAGTACAGCACTAATTTGGACTGTCTAGGTTGCGTATATCCTGTTCAGACTGCTTTAAGGTTTTAAAAAAGTTCCAGTAAAAAGATATTTACTAACAAATTATGCTCTCCCTGTGCTTGGAATCTAATTGGTTTCTTGTTGGTTTTAACTTCCTGTATTTTTGGCACTTGTTTTTGTTGTTACACTGAGTTGAGAAAAAATAATCAGTACATAAAAATTCAATAAAAGTGTAAATCTTCCCTTTTGCAAAAGAGTTGGAACACCACTAGCTGTAGCTCGTAAAGTCATGGAGAGAAATACCTGCAGCTTCCTGGTTGGAGATGGTGCTGCGGCCTTTGCAAGAGAGCAGGGCTTCATGGTAGAGGACAATGAAAGTATGATGACTGAACGGAGTGCAGAAGTTTATAAGGTACTGTCTACAACCAGTATACCTGATGTGAGTGGACTTTCATATGAAGATGTCTGTAGTTTATCTTGCTGGGCATTCATATGGAGATCATGCTAATATGGGCAGGAATTACCCATACACATAAAAGAGAGAACAAATTTTGGAGGGAAGTCTGTATCATTTCTTAGACGAGGCTAAGGAGAGGTGCAGTGAAGCACCACGTGCTGTCTGAAGGTGATATTGGGTGCTTGCCAGTAATTTTGCCATCTCAGATGTACTTATTGATGCAGGCCTAGTACTACTTTGAGTTGACTATAGTACATCTGTTCTGGGCTACAGGGTGCAAAGAGTGGGCAGGCTGTGGTTCACTGAAGCTTTCCCTTGCACAATTCTTTGACAGTATAGACCCTTGACCCAAGGGTCAAAAACTGCTGTCATTAAGCTTTGTTCATAATAGCAGAGACAAGCATTTAGACGTCAGAAAAACTGATTATACACCCATTAATGTTTGGTCAGCCCCAGCTGAGTTTAGAAGAGCTTTAGAGCAGGTCTAAACTGCAAATTGGTAGCAGTCACTGGCAGACTATCTGCCAGCTGAAGATTGCTGGAGCACAGTACAAAGCAGCCACACTGTTTCCAGTTCTACCCCTGTACCTCACCATGCCCTCTTAACTATTGAATGCATTCAGGTATGTAGAAGTTACTACAGAATTGAAGCCAGTTTGTGCTTTTGGCAGAGGTAGGAAGAGAATTTGGGCCCTGAGTTTTAATTATGCATCTTTCCTTATTATTGAACTACCATTTCTACTGTGTTATATTATTCTGCTCCCAAGAGCAACATTAAATATTGTTGACTTCACTAAAAGTAGATTTTTTAGTCCAAAAATAACCCTAACACTGACAAATCACTGGGTGGCATTTGGACTGTGAAATAGTAAATAAAACAAGTTGGGATTGTTTAGAAAATGTTACTACACATTATCTTCATGGACTGAAGGAACAGGTTAACCTGCCATAATAACACCGTATGATCCCCTGATGTAAAAATGAAATTCTTAGTTTCCCAAATCTCAGGAAAATAAGAACTACTGAAAACTAAAATTTGTTATAATGGAGGTCTGATTTTTTTATATTTTATGAAGGATGTTGAATATTTTGAGAGACTCGTGGGCATATCTGATTGTATTTTGCAAATATTTGTTATATTAAAATGTTTATGGAATGCCATTTTATGATAGTTGAATAATATTTATTTTCTTTGCAAATGTAAGGTATTGATTGCCATTAAGAAAAAAGGAAGCGTTTTGTTTACAATTCTGGACCTATGTGGCCTTTTCCTTTCTCTGTTACATTAAGCTGTTCAAATACATCAAAACAAGCTTAAATGCTCTAAAATTTTCCTTAGATATTGCAGCCTTCTTTTTAGATGAGAGCTGCTCAACCCCCAGTCCATGGGCCAAATGTGGCCCCTGGAACCTTGACATCCAGTCTGCAGGACTCTGCCCTGTTTGGGAAATTTGGTGGCAGGGGGAACAGTGACAATTCATACTACCAACTTTCTTCTCTGCCAAATTCCCACAGTTGGGTTGGGGCTGGGCCATGCTCCTTCCCTCCCCCTTCTCCCCCCAACATGGCTGGATTGGGGCTGGACCACATCCCCTTCCCCCCCATCCCCAGCTGGATCAGGACTGGGCCACACTCCGTTCCTGCCACGCAGCCACATCAGGGTCAGCCATGTACCCTTTTCCCTGCAGTCAGATCAGGACTGGGCCACTCCTCCCACATGGCCAGATCAGGCACCGCCTTTCTGTACTGCATGCTTGATATTGCCTGCAGATGGACTTAGCACCACCCATCTGGCTGTGGTGGGAAAAGTTTGAGCACCGCTGTTTTAGATCCATCCTTAAGTATGTGTCCACACTGCACCTCCATGAAAAGGGGTGGCTCAGGTATTTCTGCTTTACTGCCTTGAGCAATGTGCACATACCATAAGATCCTTAACAAGCTGACCTTACCACCTAACTAAGATGTTGAAGGAATTTTTATTGTTGTATAACATTTTTTTCATGGACTGTGGCAATCTTTCTCTATTTTTATATTGCGGTATTGGGGATTATAGAATACTTTATTTTATTGATTTCAATTGAAACAGTAGGAAAGATTTTAAAAGTTGATCTGTTTTTTCAAGTATTGGATAATTGCTTAAAGCAGTGACTCTCAACCTCTGCCTCACAGGCCAGATCCCATCCATGGAGTCACCTCATTTGGCCCAGAGGATTTCTCACAGGTCTGGAAAGTTGGCAGTGCGGGAGTGGTGGCAGTGTTAATTGCTGCTCCGCTGATGTCAAATTTTTGGTCCCATGGGGACCCTTGCGGGCTGGATAATGTGGCCTTGCATGGTAGATCACGCTGGCGCAGTTGGGCAAGTACACAAGGTTGTTCTGCGATTGTACTGATCATGTGGTGTCAGGCCACTGTGTGGCCAAATCCAGGCATGTAGGCTTATGCTGGTAATTAGTTGGCACCTGTAGACCAAACCCACACACCAACCCTGCACTAGATCAGGTGCACAGACCCTGACCCTGCACTATTTGTCCAGCCAGAAGGTTGGGCACCACTACTTAAAGTGTAAGCATTGCTGCTTTTCTGTGTTGTATATTACATCCCAGGATCTTACAACACCTACAAGCAGTATTGCAGGTTGCAGACTTTATACAACTTAGGACAATACAAACAGTAATTAATGCTGAATACCATATTCAGGGATTGGCAACCTATGGCCCTTGGGCTGGATCTGGCCTGCAGAGCCATTTTATCTGGCGTTGGATCTAGCGAGCTTCTGCAATATTTTGGTCACAGGGCACTTTAGCAGCAGGGGGCTTTGTCCCAGTGGCAGCTAGGCAGTGGGGTGAAGCAGCAGTGTTGGCATGGGGATAGAGAGGGAGGGAGGAGTGGTGACTGGTGGTGTGGGCTGGGGTGCAAGTGGCCACCCACTTGTTAAAGCAACCACCCTCTGAAATATCTTTCCAGCCACTGTGGTATGATGATAAAACTAAGGCACAAAAAAAGCTAAAGCCAATTTTTTTTCAACAGTGGCCTCTTTCTTTGAATGCTTTGTTTTCTGGTAGCCATGTTTTTGCCCTTAAATCCTACTCTTAACTTGACATGAACACAGTGATCCACCTGCACAGGGTTCATTAAAGGCCTTTACGCCCTCAGGACTTGAATTGCTTATATTGTACTTACTGAGACATATGCAAAGCAAGTACAAAATGCTACCAAATTAGAATTTTTTACTCTCATCATGAGTATCATTTAATCTCACTTCGCATAGATGTAAAATACACACTTCACAGCAGTAGAGAATCAGGCTTCCTAACATCTGATTTGGAGAGGTGCTGAACAACCACAACCCTAACTGAAGTCACTGGGACCTAACTTCTGAAAATCTCACTCCAGATGTCTAAAGTTTGACAGCTGAAAATTAGGTTCCTCCAAATTAGGTAGCACTATTGGAAATGTAGTCTTAAGTGACTTTAGAGGAAGTTCGTAGTGCAGCTAGGAATAGAAGAACCCAGATCATTTGACTCTGAATACTATTTGAAGGAAACATTTTCAGATAAAAGTGGAATTTTTCGCAGTTCACCCACAATGTACAAAGATTACTATTTAAATTTGATTCACTGATGCTAGAGGGAGTTTTGACTGCTGAAGTCCATTCTCTCCTCGCATCAAAAAAGGGGTTTTGATTTTGGAAGTCCATTTATGCTCAGTGCTCAGTAAAGATCACAGTTTTAATAGCTCTGTTTCTTCTAGTACACTGCTTCAATTTTTTTATATAATGATTTTAAAATCCAGTGTTTATCATCATTTATGTACATGTTCCTTGCCTTGTCAAACTAGCTTTTATTTTATTCTACATTTCTCCTATAGGAATATTTAGAGAAGAAAAAAAGTCCCAAAGGACACGATACCTTAGGTAACTAATTGTAATGCAGTTTTTTTAATTAATCTGTGTTTAAATAATATAAAGATACTGTATTAAAGTAAACCCTGTGTAAATGAAGTCACTGTTAAACTGGCTTCTCTTTCTCCTCATCTATATGTAATCTTAGAGGTTATTGTATGTTAACTAAAAGTTTTTATCATCAGTAGCAAACATATTGTGGTGGATAGGTAGTTGTATACTTATTAGCTATTCATGCAGACCAAATCATAGAATCACATGGGCATTATATATGTGCTCTGGGAGTTGGGGGGTGGGGGGGTGGGACAGGACGCTTGAATTAGAGCGGCTCTGAGAGTCACGCTAATTAAAGTGCCCTGGGTGTTACATGTAGCAAATGTTTTTGAATGAGCTTTAAAGCTTCCCTGCCACCATTTTTCTTCACAGGGATGCTGATGCACATGATGCTGGGGTCTGATGGAGCACAGTACACTCCAGCAGTCTCTTAATCCAGTCTGCTCCAGCATGCTGTAATTACAGTGCGTCGGAGGAGCCTCCCTGCACTTGTATAGGTGCCCATAGAGAAGTAGGGCTGGAAGGGACCTTCAGAGGTAATCCAGACCAATCTTCTGCCTGAGTCAGGATCATTCCTATCCAAACCATTTTATACAATCCATAAGCTAAACTCTACATAAGACTGCCATCAGCCCTGACGCAGCACAGACATAATCTGTGCCATAATGCCACAGTTAAAACAGGGGAGCCATGGCAGTCAATGTCCTGTTTCAATGTGCTGCTCAGAAGATCCTGGGTAGAGAGCCACACACCCACCACTACAGAGGAAGTCTAAAATCCCAAAGGTCCATGCCAATCTGACCATGGGGTAAAATTTCTGACCCCGAATATGTTGATCATCTGACCCTGAATGGAGGGGCAAGACCTTTCAGCCAAATATGCTTTGCATTTGAAGCATCTTAGAAGCTCCTTGTGCAGCCACACTGGTCTCTTGCCATTCTTGTGCTTCCATTGTGTTGGGACAGTTTCTCATTGGGCTTCCAATACTATGCCCTTTAGAAGCTCCCAGACCTCCTGGGTGCCTTTATTCTTCAATCTGTCTTCCCATGGCACCATGCCTATTAACTCCTTGAGTCAGATAAAATCTAGCATCCAGATTTTGCTGACCTTGTACTTTCCCTGTCTCAGGTTCTGGAATTCTATCATATTGTGATCGCTTCCTCCCAGGTTATCCATTACCTTCACATCCTCCATAAGTTCTTCCCTGTTGGTCAAGTCAAAGATTTAAGATAGATGATCCCCTAGTTGTATCCTCTACCTTCTGGAACAAAAAGTTATCCCCCCCACACACACATCTTATGTTTGGCTCCATTGTTCTTCAAGCAGATGCCTGGAAAATTGAAGTTTCCCATCAGTACCATTGCATAGCTTTTGGGTAGATTGTCACATGCTTGAAGAATGCCTCATCTACCTCCACTTTCTGATTAGGTGACCTGTAATAGATCTCCATTATTGTATCAGTGCTGCATCTTTCATCTTCATCCAAATTAATTCTGTTTTGCTGTCTTCTTCCTCCTGAACCAGGGAGCAGGTATATGTTTTTTGACATGCAAGGCACCACCTTTTCTCCTGGCCCTGTCCTTTCAAAACAGTGTAACCCTCAGTGTTGACATTCCAGGCATAAGAGCTGTTCCACCAGGTCTCTGTGTTGCTAATTCTGAAGCAGTTCACAGAGGTGAATTCATAGTCCATACAAATTTTAGTAAAGATCCTGTCCTTGCTCTTGCAAATGCAGAAGGGCCTTAGCAGTCTCCCTGGGTGTGGTTCCCCGGTCAAGGATGTTCTTGCACCAGGTGTCAGGTTCAGGTGCACAAGATGGCTGGGGTGAAATAGCTTATGAAGGATTTGAGATCATGTTATGTTATTCCATACTTCAGCACATGTAAAAAGGAAGACATTCTGCACATACAAGAGAAAGCTGAGAATTACAGTAATTGAAACAAGGAAATGAAGATATAGGTAGGCACTTCAAAATAAATTGAGTCAAAGTAGATCACGGACAGATTTGCAAATAGTATATGGAAAACTTGGAGAGAAAATCTTGCCGGGTTTTGCTGGCAGATGCATTTGTGAATCTCCTACCAATTCCTTGATGGACATGCACAAGATTCTGCTGTGAAACTATTCTACAGGTGGACAGTTCTTCATTATTTCCTCCACTTTGTCTTGCTCAGTGAAATTAGTCTTGCTCTTCTATCTTTGTGGAGCTCCATAGGGTTTTTCCAAGGCTCAACAAGCTCAGCTCAGCTCTCTCATTAAAGTGAGAGAAGTAAAATAATGAAGTACAAAATCTTACTGCTGTTAGTTCCTCATTTCTTGAAGATTAAACTAGCTTTCCCAGAAGGAAATGACTACGCAGTGGTATGACCATGCACTGGTGTTTTCACTTCTTACTTAAAGCTTGCAGTTTTATACATCTTCATTTTCTAATGAAGACTAAAAGCTAAATACTTTTTCTCTCTCTGTCCCTAAATGGCACATACACAGCCATTCAACTGCAGTTTTTGGCTTTTTATGCACAGTTTACAATTCAGGTCTGGGAGTGAAAAGTGTGCATATGCTTAGTGAGGCTGCATGCTGAGCAGCAAAGAGGGAGATATATGAGTCCAGGAGGAAGAAAATAAGCCAGAGGGTATGTGACTGAGTAATATGAGTGCTACCTTAGGTGAGAGGGAGCCTTGTGTTCTACCTTGGACCCTTACTCCCAATGGAGTAGAAATCCCCCCACTGCTTTTTATCCATTTTATCCAAGGTACAGTGGGTCAGACTCAAGAGTAGGGCTAGAGAAGGCCCAGATATTGCATAACCTGTGGCCTGGTGGTTAGAGCACTTCAGTGGGAAGTAGGAGAGGTAGGTTCAAACCCCTTCTAGGTCCCCCCCCTCACCTAAAACTTGGGTCTGCTACTCACTGGGCAAGTGCCCTGAACACTAAGCTATTGAGTTAAAATAGAAACATTGGACATATGGCCTGTGGCTGGGATTCCATTGGACAAATTGTTTCATCTGGATTGTGGGGCTCCAAATGGTACCAGGAGTTAAGAAGTGGGGCAGGTTGGAGCAAGGCCTGTCACCAAATTCTCAGTCACAGAGGCTTTCTGGGGATATCTGTCAGTGGCTGTGTGAGAAGAGTGTCAGCTATGTTACCCTTGTGCTGCCACTTGCTGTCCCACTACCTCCGGGTCTTGATCTGACTCACAAGGCTCCTTATGATTCAGATCTGGCCTGAGAGTTCAGATGGGTTTGAGATGGGAATATGGGAAGGCTGTCCTCCATTTTGCTTCTAGCAGGCACAGCATATAAAAAGTAAAAAAGAATCTAAAACTGCCTTGCTTTAAAAAAAAAACTGTACATAAAGTAAAATAGCATTCTGCCCTAAACTTACGTTAGATATTTATGACCTGACATTTAGTCTTAGACATTTGACCTAGCTTTTCAGCGGTACTGAGCCTTTCGCTGGGAAAAAAACAGATGTTCAGAATCCCTAAAAGCCAGCTATTCATTTTCTTTGTTTCAGTTAATGACTTTCTGCCAATAGCTTTATGTAAAATTTAAATAAATATTTAAAGTCTAATTCTGTGCTACTTCTGAATGCAAGAGCTTCTGCTTTGAAACCTGCAGTAAGTTTGTTGCTGCTCAGACTGTCAAAGCACAAATGAAATAATACATTTAATCTCAAAGAGGAAACTAGCACATGTTGTTTGTGGAGTTCCTTCTGCTGGCATCTAAAAGATACCATAGTTTGGTTGAAGTCAAAAGCATGCCAAAGTTGAGATCTACAGAGGGAAATGACAGCCAGAATAAAGGGATGTGCCACTGCTTTTAGGTCCTGAGAGTCTCTTGGCATATGTTCTTGTGCTGAAAAGAGTGTTGAGCAGTTCCTAGAATTCTTTCCCTTGTATTTCAAAGGAAATGTACAATAAATATTTACAGGGATTTTTATGTAAAGGATGTGTGTTAATTATTGCCCACAGACATGTTAAACCTTTCACCAGTTGTATGTTGGACCTTACAAATCAAACACAAATATCTCTGTGACACTTGAAGAGCCTAGATCCTGTGATGAATAAGTACATAGATTCTTGAATATGTGATATGTTGACTAGTGACATGAAATGGAGAAACATCATTGAATGTTAAGTGAGTGTTGATTTGTATTTGAAGTACAATATTGAGAAAATAACACAGAAGCCTGTGCTGTGCCAGTTCTAATAATTTCAAACAGAGCCACCTACAGGTATTATTAAAAGACTAACATTACCTAGAAGGCAATAATACTACTGTGGCTTTCTCATGAAAGTTGTGCATGTGGAGGGGGAAAAATTGTTCTTCCCCTTCTATTCCTTTCCTGTCCTTGAACAGTCTGTGCCTGCTTCTTTCCCAAACCTGAAAAAGGGCACTTCATGCACAAAAAGTGTGTCCTAACATCTCTCTGGGTATACAGTTGCCTGAATAAGAGAGATTAACAAAAAACATTGTTTTTCATATATTTCCTGGACCATCACAACTATAATAACACTCCCACCCTGCTTGAATAGTTAGACAGTTTACCATATAAAAAGTAACAAAAAAACAACTACAGGCAGTCCTCAGACTTACAACACAACTGGTTCCTGAAAACCGCGTCTTAAGTCAAAATGTTGCAACTCAGAACCGATTTTCCCATAGGAACAATGTTATAAATGGGGGATTGGTTCCTGAACCAAGGCCCAATACCCTATTGTCACCAAAAATAACCCAGAATTTTGTACTCAATCAATTATAGATGTGTAATATAGCTACATTAATGTATTTATATTGTAAATAGAAATCATATTGATTTGGAAGGACTTCTTTGAGCTGACTGCTGGACTTTTTGAAGGGCTCTTGGTTGGACTTTTTGAAGGGCTCTTGGCTGGAGTCTTCTCAGGAGTCTTGGCTGCACGTTTTTCTAGAGTCTTGTCTGCTTTCGTAAAGAAAGTGTCTAAGGAAGTTTGGACAGTTCTCCAGGGAGATGGGTGACACAGTGAACTTGTTCGCTGGAGTGGCATGGCATTGGATCAAGCATCGTATAGTTGAAACAGATGTCAAAGTTGAAACAAAATGTCACTTTATAAATGTCTGAAGTGCAATTGGTTGCAACTTGAAATGTCTTCAGTCGAGGACTGCCCGTAAATTAATTTATTTAAAATTATAAATGCTTTTTATTAGTATGAAAATTCAGTTATATAGAATACATTAGTTTGATATGCAGAAATGTTAACGATTTTGTTTAAGTTATCCTGAATACATCTACTAAACCTGTTTATGTCAAATATTTAGAAGAATTCAGTAGAAAGTTAATAGTTAATTTATTTGTAAACATAGGTTCTTAATAAAACATTTTGTTAAGTATAAATCATGGCAACTACTTTATGCCTAATAAGGGCTATAACAACAGAGCAGTAATGCACATATTGTAGCAGTCCTTACTCAGGCAAATCTCCTTTTGAAGTTGGTAATATTGAAATTTCCCTGCCACATTGGATCCATGGTTCATCTAGTTCAGCATCCTAAATCCAATGGTAGCCAGCATCAGATGCTTCAGCGTACTGATAGGAGGTTAGCTTGGGCTTGTCAACGCACACTTTTTGTACTGATTTGACTATATTAAAGACCAGTATAGTTAAACTAGTACAACCAATTGTCCAGTGGAGACAATTACATCAGTAGAAGAGTGCCAGTATCAGTACCGCTTATTCCTTAAATGGAATTAGTATGCTTAAATCAACACAAAAAAAACTGCCTTAAGTAAGGACTTAACTGTGGGTGAACTTTTTAACTGAGCTATAACTGTCTCCTTTATAGAATCATAGAAAATAGAGTTGGAAGGGACCTCAGGAAGTCATCTAGTTCAGCGTTTCTCAGCCCATGGGTCATAACTCAAAAGTGGATCACAAGAATATATGAAAGAGTTGTGAACAAACTTAACAAAAAATGAATCAACAAACTTTAAAAATGGATTCTCCTTTAAAAGAGAAAAACATGGGAAACCACAAGTTTCTCCTTGCAGGCTGGCAGAGTTTCAGCCTGCATGGGGTTGCTTGGGGCTGTGGGGAGTAGGAAGGGGGTGATCAGGCAAGGAGCACCATGTGTGCATGCATATGTGCGTGACAGCCAGGCAGCGTGTAGAGCAGCTCCTGTAGCACCCTGCAGGTAAGTCTTTGGTAGAGGGCACACAGGCAACACTCCCTGCCACCCCACCTTCTCTCTGGGATGGAGCCATGGCCTGAGGGGGAGTGGCTGGGCCATAGTGGTGGAGTAGAGCTGCAGCCTGGTACACGAATGGCTGGTGGAGGGAGAAGGTGAGGGTAATGCGGCCTGCCTCTCTCTGTTACTCCCCGTGCTGCTGTAGGTGTGGCTGGTGCAGGATTTCTAGTAGCAGTGGCAGTAATGAGTCTCACTGCCCCGCGCTGCCCTCCTGCGCTGAATCCTGCCTGCTCAGCTGTGGAGGTAGCTCCTGCCTATGCTCACCCAGCAAGGCTGCAGCCCCGTGCCCCCTGTGGGAGCACAAATCTGGGGGGACACTTGCCCCCCTGCTGTCCCTCACACTGCGGGGCTGGGGCTTGGGGGGAAAGGGGCAGCAGGTTGGGAGTGAGGAGCACCAGCAGGGCTGGGAGGAGTGGGGCTGTGGGTTGTGAGTGGAGGGGAGGGGCACCGCAAGGCCAGGGTGCTTTGTTCATATGTTACATTTATTCTTGCTCTAGGTCAAGGATTCTTTCATCTGAATTGTTTTGTTTAACTGTATCCCAACTACATAATTGGTTCAATAAAAGATATCGCCCTTAGTAATCCTTGTCATATTGCAATATTTTCATTAACCCCTTTGGCAAAACAGAGTTACTATTACTGTCTGACAGAAAACAAAAATGGGTAGTGTGGTGTTTATCACCTAGGAAAGGAAATAATAGTTATATTAGGGCTTGATTTTATGCCACTGAAGTCAGTGACAGGACTAATGCCTATCATGAAGCAGGGTGAAGTTCTTCAGAGATGTACTCGCTACTGTGTATTTAGACTGCTCTAGTTTGTTTTAAATGGACGGGCCTTTTTACACTGATAATTGTTCTGACTTTATGAAGCAATTTATAGGCTGTCATCTATGCAAAATCACTGAATTATTTTTATTAGGTCTCTTAATAAAATGCTAACCATTTATGTTTTTGTTATTTACGGTGCAACTCCAGACAGGCGGCTAAAATGTGTTTTCTTATCAAACAAATGTTTGTTCATATTTTTCATGTCTTCCTCTTGAGTAGTTTCCTCTAAAGTAGTCACATTTTTTGAAATGCAGTTTAAGGTAGATCATTCTTTAAATAAGCTGTTCTGATTTTTTTCTATATCAAAATTTTTTTATAAGACCTTTTCTTTCTGCTTCCCTGTAAGGAGGCAAATAAAGGTCTCACCTGCAAAAACACATCCACATGACTCTTGATGTAAGTAGGCCTACTTATAACAGTAGTTGGGCACATGAACAGACCTTTTTAGGATCGGGGCACAGTCAGTTATACATGGGGGAAAACAATTACGTGGACTAGACACCAAGCATTGTTGAATATATCAAGTAAAAAAAAAAAAAAAAAAGGAGGAAACCTGGAAAAATGGCAAAAGCCATTCTTGTAATTTGTCATTTATATCAGTATTAGGTGCCACTTGTAACTTGGTATAAAAATCTCTTCTTTTCTGGTTGTCCTTTTAATATTTTATAACTTCAAGAACATGCTTCAAATGTCTAACATGTTTCTCTGGGGACTAATTCATCTGCATAATAAAACAGGCCAATCTTTTGTGAAACAATTTATGGTTCTGCTTGAGAAGTAAAATTGTTTTTTTTATATTTTAATTAGGTCTAATTGCCTTGGATATTCATGGAAATATAACTGTTGGTAAGATTAATCAAAACATATCGTACAACTGTTAACTTTGTGCCTTTCTTATGTCATGTGGTTGCTGCTAACTAAATAATTGGGGTGGGCTTTTTTTTGTGAAGTTCTTGTTTCCTGCCTGTAGGTAATTGGTTGTGAAGGGTAAGACAGGAAGCATTTCTGTTGGTGCTGACTAGCAGTTGGACTGGATGTGAGTGGGGAATGTGGCCAGGAGGTGGCAGTTCTGAGCAGTATCACATTGCTACCTATAGTTGTTTAGGTCCAGATCCTCAAAGCATTTAGGTGTCTGCCTCACTCTGATTGCAACAGGACTGAGGACTTAAGTACATTTAGGCTGCTTGCAGATGTTTAAAAAAAAAAGAAGCAAAGCTAAAATGCTGCTTTACTTTAAACTCAGCGTACTCCTGTGCCTAGCTCAGTGCGCCCCCAGAAGAGGCTTAATATTAGTTGGACCTGGCTTGCCTGACATCTATATAGATCAGGTGCTTTAGCAGGGCTTTTTTGGCTCTTTAATTAATAGCTGATGAAATCAGCTTTAGATACAAGCTCCAAAAAGCCCTACTGAAGCACCCAATCTATACAGACACTGCAGAGCTGGGTCTAAGTAATTCACTGCTTCTTCTCGTAAAGCACTTTTTTAAATGTCTATAAGCAGCCTTAAATGCTTTGAAGACCCAGGCCTTAGTTCATGTATACAAGGATGATGAGCAGCTTATATATTAGAGGTAGCTTTGGCTCACTGTAACTTTTCAACTTGGTTAACATTTGGATTGAAAAATACAGAAATATACCAAAATTATCTAATAGTGACAGTGTTGTGTTCCAGCAATTTTCTATTTTTCTCAAGTTAGAAAAATTTGGGTAAGAAAAAACATAGCGACTCAAATGACAAGCAGAATTAAACCAGATTCAACATTTTCCCCATTGTTTTTGTGGTAAATGGGGGGAGCATGATCTACTTCTAAAATGTTATTGTACTAATTGTGTTTAATAATAGGTGTATCTACTTCTGGAGCTCCTTTTAAATATCCTGGGAGGGTAGGTGATTCTCCATTGCCAGGATGCGGTCTTTATGCAGATAATCAGGTACTTAAAATCCTCATCAGTCATCAGGTACTAAAAAGTCCTCAATGATTTGTACACTCTAAAGTAGTGGTAGAAACTCAGACTGTTGTTAAAATTGTTACTGATGGGAACTTTCTAATCCCATTTAACAGTGCAGAGCCCACAATGATTTTCTCATTGTCACAAAGAAGGACTATCTGATATAGTTGCTTTTTTCTCATTTCTGAATTGGATAATGAAATTTAGCTGGAAAAAATAAAAGCAACGGGAAGCATTTTGCAGTTGGTGAATGCAACATCCTGGTCTTTATCTTTTCGAAGAATTTTAACTGTATCATTCATTGGGATGACCAAAGGTTGTCCAACAAGTTCTGCAACATGGTTAAGTTCCACCTAGTATCTGTAGCCTTGCCCCACACACATTTTATTGCAAGGCTTGTGATATTTGTTGATTTTGCCAAAGTGCTAGGGCTTGAAGGTATTTGTTTAGGAGAGAATCTCTGCTTTCATTTTTTTAAAGTTTATTCCTAACCCTCATTGTAGTGGGAATAACATTGAAAATGGCCTGAGTGTAATGTAAAGGCTCAAAAACCAGAAGAAAGATTGAAACCCAAACTTACTTTTTTAAGCCACTCATTTTTGTGGGGCCTGACTCATTATTTTTGAACATTTGAAGTTAGCAATATTGTCTTTAATGTAAATCTGTCCTGCAGAGTCTGCATATCCCAGCATGCATTGTTCAGTCTCGTCAGACCTCTAAAGGAAGGTTATTGGGTGTGTACAGAAGTTGCTTTTTTCGTCATTTAAGTATTTTATTGTCATGACTTAACAGAAGTGCATAGCTTTACAGCACTTTAAAAATGGGTACAGCACTTCTAAATTAACCCTTGGTAAATGAAGTATTAAATTTGAAGTGCTGTATTTTGGGTCTGTGTGAAGCTTCACTAGCCAATTTCGATTCAGTCTGATACAGGGGCTGAATCTCTGAATCCGAATTGAATTGGGAGACCCGTTAAAAGATCCAAATCGAATTGGAAGCCTCCAAATTGATTCAGAGATTCAGGCAGTCCCTGCTTACCACCGCAGGGAGCTGGACCTGGGCTCCATTCCAGTAAGCAGGGGGGTGGGGGCTGGAGGAGGGGACCATAGAGGGACCCCCGCCTGGCCCTATCTCCCAGCCCCCCCTGTCCGCCTCCCCACTTGGCCCCAC